AGGCTGGTGGAAGCCAGCGGAAGTAAATGATGCCCCCTTAAACCTTCCAGTTGGATGCTGAGGTGGGTTGAATGTGGTCTGATCTAGCTTAAACGTGGGTTACAAATTTGCTAAGTGGCTTGGGGTGCTAGATCATTCTGCTATGAGGGTGGGCCCACGTTGCCCGAAACCTTATCCCCCCAGCCATTTAGGGCATTTGTCCCCCGCTTGCAAGCTAGGGTAAGCGAGATACCCCCTACCTTAGTATCCACAACTCCCCTATTTCCTACGCGCCCCCGCGGTGATCCAAGCAGTCCCGCGATTATCAGACTCGTGCATACAATTTGCACTTCACATCGGCTGTTCTAGGTAGGATCTGAGACGGGACGAAACAACCAAATTTTAGCCAGGACGAAAAAAGAAAAGGAGGTGGAGGCGGATGAGGAGGAGGAGGAGGAGGATGAAGAGGAGGAGGCGGAGGAGGAGGAGGAGGAGGAGGAGGAGGAGGAGACGGAGGATGAGGAGGAGGAGGAAGAGGAGGACGCGGAGGAGGAGGGGGGAGGAGGAGGAGGAGGAGGAGGAGGAGGAGGAGGAGGAGGAGGAGGAGGAGGGGGAGGGTGCTCGATTCGTGGAGTATGTATTGGCCTTCGGCCAATCCCGCCGCCGTGCCTGCATTGTGAGTGAGGGTCTGCAAGGAGCCTCTTGGGGGTCAGTTGTGGGGCCTCTGGGTGCCTCTTGAGGGCCTGTTGGGGCGTCTTGGGGGCCTTTTGGAGCGTCTGGGGGCCTGTTGGGTGCTTCTTGGGGCGTCTTTGGGCCTCGTGGGAACCGTTGGGGGGGGCTCTCGGAGCCGAGGGCTCGAAATGTTCGTTTTGGGGGCCCCGTCTGGGCCCCCGTTTGGACTTGTCTTGAGTGCCTCGTGGGCGGTGGCGGCCTCTTGGGCCGTTTCGGATCTCTCTTGGGCTTTCGTGGGGGCCTTTCCGGTAGCCTCCTGGGCCGTCTGGCGCCGATCTTGAGAGTCTTTGGGGCCGTCTCTTGGAGCGTCGGGCAGCCGTAAACAGACGATAACGCCAAAGTCTTGCAACAACCAATGGGACAACAGTGACATTTGCGTCTTGGGGCCCTCTTGGGAGGCCTCTTGGAGGCCTCTTGGGCCGTCTTGGGGGCATCTTGTGCCGTTTTGAGGCGAGCTTGGGCGTGTTGGAGCGGTCTTCCTGTGAGTCCAGGCTTTCTTGGACCGTCTTGGGGCCTCTTGGGGCCCTTGTGGCCCTTTTGGGGTTCGCTGCATATCCCCCCGTGGTGGGGGTCAAATTCCTGGTTTGGGGTCCACGGGGGGGGGATTCTGGGGGGGGGAGCAGTCTCAGACGACTTGAGACCCACAAGGGGTCGGCAGGATTTTCCTGCGGAGGCCCCTGAGATCAGACGTCGCGAACAAACTCATCAACGTGAGCAACCGCGACAGGGTCATATGGAGCGTTCCAAAAAGGGCATCGCCTTTGATTACAGTTGGAGTTGTCATCTCTTCCTCGGCGGAAGCTGGCGGAAGGCTGGCGCATGGCGGCGGAAGCAAAGCGAGGCTGGCTCCGCCGGCGGAAGCCGGCGGAAGGCTGACAGAGGGCGGCGGACGTAAAACAGGCGCCCCCAAGAGACGACAACACTATTGGGTTCGGAGTTTCCGGAGTCGGCCTTGTGCCCTAAACTTGCGACGCCCGGATCTCAGGGTTCAAGGTTGGAAGCTTGAGGGTTTAGGGTTCTTCTACCCCCCTCGCTCCCCCCTTCTCATGGGGGAAGGTCCATGCTGGCGGCTGCGTGCTTCGGGCATCGGCCATTGGTCCATCGCCCCCCCCGTCGCATGGGGGAGAACCTTGCAGGCAGCTATATCAGGCATGCTCGCGGGGCACTCAGGTTTTGGCATGCCGGGCGGCTTCTCGCCCCCACGGCTGGATTCCCTGTGAAATCCAAGAAAAAGCGCCTGCCAAGAGAGCTCCAGGAGCCGAGTTTCGGCTGTCGATCCATGCCAACATCTGTGTCCAAGACAGCCGTCAACACCTTTTCACCCCTCGATCACCATAGCCACCCCATCACAGCGATGCGAATGGTCTCGCTCCAGTCCTTTAGCCCAGCGCTAGCACTTAGTCACGGCGCAGAAGCCATTGCTGATCTGGCACCCGACCATAGCGCATATATTATATTTGAATGGATGCTTCTAGCAATGGCTCCAACCTTTTGAAACGAATCAAGGCGGATGTCTTTCCGATCATTTCTGGCTATAGGGAGACATGATGGAAAAGACATCCTCTCTGTTTTTTCCCATCTCTCTCAAGGCCAAGCAACGCCAAGCAATGCAACGCCAAGCAAAGCCAAGCAGTGCCACGCAGTGCCCAGCAGTGACAAGCAGCGCCGAGCAGTGCCAAGCAACGCCACTCAATGCCAAACAATGCACATTACAAAGCAACGCCGTACAATAGTAGCAATGCCAAGCAATTTCGACCACTGCCAAGCAATGCCAAGCAATGCGAACCCA